ATTGATTATTCATAACATCCGTCCGTATACCATGCGATTTTGAGTCAAAATTTCTTTTGTGATACAGGAGAAACAAGCCATATTACAAAAGGAGTACCGATCTCAGTTGTTCATAGAATGCGTGGTCGGTCACTAGTCGAGTTACGACTCTGGCCGTAGGCAACAGGAACCGTCAGAAATGTTGATAATCTCAAAGATAATCTCAAATGCGAAAAAGTGTTTTTTTTTTCAGACAGCCGTCTCGTCAACAACCTACGCATTACCGTCATCGTTGTTGCCGTGCTCATCGAAGGCTAATGCGACCGATATCGGTCAGGGTCCGTCGGATGCGAAGAGTTCTACGTTTATGGAAACAATGAAAACAAAATTGAAGGATCTGAACGCGGACGAGATGAATCAGCTGATGCATCGTATCAATGAACATGTACGTAACAAAATCGTCACACAACTCGCCTCACAAATCGTCCAAAACTTCGATGTGAATCAGCACGACAGTATGTTCAATGAAATCTTGAGTATTGTCGATAAGCACAACAAGACCATTTGATATCACCTTAAAACTTACATTAGTTCATGCTTTACACATTGTTTATTGCAAGAAACACAACTATTCTCGTGTTGTTTTATTGAGTATTCATCTCGTCTGTAAAATATCTCGTTTGTTATTTTGCGTGAATTATTATCGTTACTTCATGCGATTGCTTATATTGACAGTCAGTTACCGCATGACATTTTCATTTGATATATAACTATAAAAGTTTCGAGCATGAAAATATGATTTTCATATTTTAAAAGTCGTTAGGTATTTGTTTTTATTTGAGTAAATCTGCACATTCGAATGAACGGTTTGTTTCTCGAATAAATTATTGATTTGCTATTCGCTTATAAAGATTCGTTCGAATAAGAAAGCAACAATATTATTATTTTCGAATGAATTATCATTATGCGATCTTATCACCGATGATCATTGTTTTAACACTTAATACTGTACCATCAATTCAAATAGTTTATTGGTTTATTCAGTTGTTTTATGTGGAAAATAGTTCTGATTTTGGATCGTAGCTCATCGAAGGAACTCATTGGAAATATGTTTATTAAATGTTGAATGTTTATTTCGATATATGTTCATTTCAACTTATTGAATGTTTATTTCAATTTATGATTTATTTTAAGAGAACCTAATCAATTTTTTATTAACGAATTTGATTTATTTAATATTTGAAATATTTTGAAAGATTGTGTTTCATTATTGTGAGTGAGTGAGTAAATGGTCGATCGCTAGCTGAGTTGATCTACTGTATTTCGTCGGTTTAGTATCCTGAGAGATATGATGAAGAAAAAAATTTGCATTCGAATGATCAGGTCCATTGGGATCTCGAAACGGGAGGGACGTAAGTTCCTCTGAGATTTTTTGCTGACGTTAACTTTTTGGACTCTAACCGAGGAACAATTATCTTTGAACATGATTGTGCGATAGATGTCGTTTTGTTTGAAATCCTCATCGTATAATTTTTGCGATTGTGTGTTTTATTTACGATTGTTACTGTATTTGTTGATTGCTGTCACAATATTTGGCATAAACTTTTTTATGTTGATTGAATTGTTTCGTGGTTGTCATCGTACACAAAAATTGAATAAGTACAGCAAACAGAAATTAAAAAAACAAATTCAAGACTACTTAAAACGTTATTGTGGTATGAAAACGAGCAGAATCAATCGTCACGATAGGGGAACAGCAGTAAAAGAGCATTTCTACGAAATTGCTACACGAACACAGCAATTAATGGAAACGTCTCAGTTCCAAGCTCTCACAACTCGTGAAGTGAAGTAGTTCTAAAGGATCAATCCTAAGCGATTGCATTTTCACGATGAAGTGCGGTCGTTTTGCTAGGGTTATGAAAACCCGTAAAGAAGTCAATTTAATACGTTTTCAAATCAATGCGGAAAATGTGTTCTCAGTCAAGAATCCCTTTTATTTGTGTTCAAGAGCACATTCAACAAATATGTTTTTGATAATATTGCTTTGTTGCGTTTACAGCGTGTTTCATTGGTTCTTAAATAAATTTACTCGATGAAACATCTGAGCGGTGATTTCAGTTCAATGGATTCTGAAGTTTGTTGGCTTATAATTTATTACTTTTACTATTTATATCCACGTTTGCTGCCAACCTCTTCAGTTATGCCATCCCCAACCACCCTTCCGCTTGAGGAGTCGCAGCCTGAGTTGAATCTGATTCTAAAAATCAATCAGGAGGATACGATTCAACTTTTTAGTAGTAGTAGTCCGCTCTATAAATGCTCTTAGGATACGGTAATTGGATGATATTGGATACGGATATTTGATTACGGTAATGTGGTAGCTACTCTGTATGCCTCTTGTTTCTTTGGCGAAGTGCGAAACTTGAACGAGCGATCTTCAAATAA